ATATATTTTGTTGATTTTTTACAGAGAGGAAATGAGAGGGATAGAGAGTTAGCAACATCGACGAGAGAGAAACATCGATCAGCTGCCTCCTGCACACTCCCTACTGGGTATGTGCCTGCAACCAAGGTACATGCCCTTGACCGGAATCAAACCTGGGACCCTTCAGTCGCCAGGCCAACACTCTATCCAGTGAGCCAAACTGGCTAGGGCTTCATTTATATTTTTATATAAATATACATGTTTATGTTTGCCACACACAATCCTCATCTTCTCCCCAAGAAGATAATTTCAGTGTTTTTCTTTAAGGATTCCAATTATGCATATTTTGAATTTTCTTTACCTGTCATCTATTTCTGCTTTTTCCTTTCTAAATTTTTATTTTTTCAATTCTCCTCCTTTCCAGAGTGTTATTATTTAACATTTTATCATCTCTTTTCTATTCTTTAAAATATATTTTTAAAATATATTTTATTGATTTGTCAGAGAGAAAGGGAGGGAGAAAGAGAGAGAAACATCAGTGACGAGAGAGAATCATTGATCTGCTGGTTCCTTCACCCCCCACACTGGGGATCGAGCCCACAACCCAGGCATGTGGCCTGACCGGGAATCAAACCCTGACCTCCTGGTTCATAGGTCTTCACTCAACTCCTGAGCCACACCTGCTGGGCTTTTCTCTATTCTTGCATTTCCAATTTATGACACTGCTGTGTTAAGCTTTTAAAAGTCATAGTGTTTAGTCACAACTTTCACCTATACTTTGGCAAGTATTTCTAGCGAGAGTTCTTCATCTGTTATTAGATTTTTCTCTTCTTTGTCTGCCTTTTTTTTTTTTAAATCCTCATCCAAGGATATTTTTCCATTAATTTTTAGAGAGAATGGAAGAGAGGAAAAGACAGAGAGAAATACCCATGTGAGAGAAACATATTCATTGGTTGCTTCCTGCCAGTGCCTGACCAGGGCCCAGGCTGGGGAGGAGCCTGAAACCGAGGTCCTTGACCGGAATTGAACCCAGGACCCTTAGGCCCACAGGCTGACTCTATCCACTGAGCCAAAGTGGGTAGAGCTGCCTTTTTCTTATAGTATCCTTGCATATGTTCTGTCCTAGTTTTCTTTTTACTACTCATCTCTGATTGGTTTACCAGGGAACAATTAGTGGTTTCAGGGGAAGGTCAAAGATAATGATAGTATTTTAGGACTGACTTGTTTTCACAAATTAAAAGCTCCCTTCTTCTCTGTTGTCATGGAGACAAACTGTTTTCTGCAAACTTGGCTTATCAACGTGATCATTTATTTAGTTTTGTTATCTATGAAGCCATATCTATATATCTATATATCTATCTATCTATCTATCTATATCTATATATATATATCTACATATAGAGAAATACCCATGTGAGAGATATAGATAGATAGATATAGATAGATAGATAGATAGATATATCTCAGGAAAACAATGAAAATTTTACATCCTAAAGGTGGAAGGCACACACATAGTTGAATAAAAAGAGTTTTTTGTTGTTGTTGTTTTGCAGGTGTTGAGGGAGCAACAGCAGCAAAAATGGTATAGTGACTATTGGCAGGGTCAATATGAACTTTCATATTGAGTGCTGGGGTCATATTATTCTCGACAAAATAGACAAAATAGTAAAAATCAAATATTTTATAAGGTGTTTATTCCAATATTTCCAGTACTCACCTGGCCCTATACAAAGTTATTACAATATTATCAACTACATTCCCTATGTTGTACTTTAAATCTCTGTGACGATTTTGTTACTACCAATTTGTACTTCTTAATGCTTTTCACCTTTTTTACCTAGACCAGTGGTCAGCAAGCTGTGGCTCACGAGCCACAGTTTAATTTAGTATAATATTTTGGTGCAAATGATAAGACTCATTTTTTTATGGCCAAGTAATATTCTATTGTATATATGTACCACAACTTTTTTATACACTTATCTATTGATGGACACTTGCATTGCTTCTATATCTTGGCTATTGAAAATAACTCTGCAATGAACTTAGGGGTGCACATATTCTTTCAAATTAGTGTTTGGTGAACTCCAAGGGCAATTTTAAATAAGGTGCCAACTCTGCTGAAGTTAAAAATGAACATGGCCTCTCTTGTTCTGACATAGGCAAATAAACATTCCTCACGCAGAAGGGGGTGTCAGTATCAAAGACACTACATTAGTTAGGCCACAGTTAGCAAAATCACATGGGGACAATTATATAATAGTCAGGTAATTCATAAGTTAGCAAAATCACACAAAGGACACCATATAAATGCCTCATCACTGGGGGAGAGGCAAGATCAATGAAATAACTTTACTCCTAAGACCTAGGAAGATATAGGCACTGCCTTAGATTTGATGAACTAGGACAACAGAGAATGTCTCTTCCCCCTAATCTAACAAAACGTGTAATATCTGTGTGCTGAAACCTACAAAACACTGATGAAAGAAATAAAAAAATGGCCTAAATACACGCAGAGATATACCATGTCAATGGGCTGCAGAAAGACTTGATGTTGTTAAGATAACTATTTCCCCAAGATTAAGATATAAATTCAACACAATCACACACACACACACACACACACACACACACACACACACACACAATGACAAGCTAATTCTTAGATCTGTATACAAATGTAAAGAGATCAGAATGTCCAAAAGATATTTGGAAAATAATGTATTTGGAGGACTGATACCACCAGACCTCAAGACTTACTATACAACTATGATAAGACAGTACACTATTAGTAAAAGATAGATACCTATATTAAAGGAACAGAAAGCCAGTGTTGGAGCACTTAGGATACCTGTAAGCAGTGAACCTTAACCAATACTTTGCATAAACATATAAATTGATTCATAATAGATCATCTGAAGTTTAACATATACTTATCCTGTGACCTAGTAATCCTACTCCTAGGTATTTACCCAAGAGAAATGAGATATAATGTTTACACAGAACCCTGTATGTAAATGCTTAAGGTGGGTGTATTTATAAATAAACTGACAATAGCCTACATATCCTCCTACAGGTTAATGGATAAACATAATGTGGCATATCCATAGAGCAGAATACTTCTCAGCAGTAAAAAACAAGTTACTGATACATGGAATGATAGGGATGAATCTAAAATGCATTATGCTGAATAAGTCAGATTCAAAAGATTGTATTCTGTATGGTTCCATTTATATGACATCTGGAAAAGGCAAAATTATGGGGACAGAAATAAGATTAATGGTTGGAGATAAAAGACTTAAGGATGACTACAAAGCATGGGGAATTTTGTATGTTGTGTATTTTGATTGTGGTTTCAATACTATATGCGTTTGTCAAATCTCTTAAACCACCCACTAAAAATGATGAATTTTATTGTATGTAAATTATACTTGAAAAACTGATTAAAACACACACACACACACACACACACACACACACACACACACATACACCTGGGTGTGATTGTCAGAATGGTGAGACAATGTAGAGATCAAATCAGGAGACATACATTACTAGTCATGATACCACATTGGAGGCTTATACGATACACTGAAAGTGGCCAGATTAATCCTCCCCAACTGTGTCGTTTGCCAGGGACCCTCAGATTTCTTTCACTTGAGACAATTGGGACTCTGCCATGGCCAAACCCCACGACCAACATACTAGGAAGCCTTTGGTAGGAATCGGCCCTCATAACATTCTCATCAGTGGAACACATCTGGCAAAGCCTGGTCTTTATAGAAAAGCTACCCTTTCTATGCAAAAAATAGTATTTTTTTTCTACTGCATAGTGAAAGCCTGTATGAGTAGTAGAAATTTGTTGGTTTTCTCAATTTCAATTGTTTAATGGGAAAAATGATTTAAAACATGCAAAATGTATCTAATATAAATCTAAAAAATTTGCTTTACCTGGGATGAGAAAATGGTATTTTTAGATCATCTTGTAGTAATTCCTTTTTCTTAAGTGTGTGTGTGTTCTTTTTTTGGAGCTCTTTCACATTTCAGTAATAGTTAATGGATAATATAAAATGGGCTGTGAATTTTAGCAAAGCAGATATATATATAAAATATCACAAATGATTTTCCTTGCAGCAGTAAACTTTTTTAACACTGAACAACTTCATAGCATGAGAATAAGTCTTCCAAAGTGGCTATTTAGGAAGGGCCTATGAAGTTAAACACACACACACACACACACACACAGTTTAAATATCATTTGCTGTAACATAAGGTTAGTTAGTAAAACTTTTCAGCTTTCATTTTGTCTATTCACAGTTTTATAAATGTAATAAAATATAATAAACTGTATCTTCACTTCAAGAAGAGCTGAAAAAAAGAGGCCAATTAAATTTTTTGGTAAGATTCAGAGATTAAAACTGAATGATCCATTAGTTCAGTTTGGAGAATATTTTAGTTCTTCAAATTTCCTTTGGTTCAGAAGTTTGGTTCATTTCAGACTGTGGCTTTACCACTTTCACTTCAGTTTATGGATAGGTTCCAAAAAGAGTTCATGTTCAGTTTCAGATTGATTAGGTTTTCATAGTTCGCACTGATTTGAGGCTCATTCTTTGATCCAAGCTGTCAGTTTTGCAGATTTTCTCAATTAAGCAATACCTTTATTGAGTTTGAGGTTACGGAGAGAGAGGTTCAACAAATGTTTACTGACCTACTGGAAATGACCTTACTATTTTGAGAACCTGCTATGTAGAAATGGCTTATTGGTAAGCCACAATGCCTCTGTTACTCATAATTTGGAGGGTGAAGTCATTATCATAAGATCATAGAAACATTTCCAAAAGGCTAGATAAAAGAATGTTTTTTAAAAAAGTCAAAATAGGAGTTACAAGAAAGGAAGAAAATGGCAAAGGATCAGAACTGAGGAGTGGCTGCCTAAAGTAATCTGAAAGCCATCACAATGAACAAATAATGCTATCTATTGGAAAATAGGGGGATCAAAGTTAATTAGAGCTCCTTGAACCCACCTGAACAATAGGCTTAGTCTCACATTGTGTTTCATGTTGAAAGAATTTCTCCAGCCCATCCTTGGTAGGGTATTCCAGCTCATCAGAGAAGAGGATGGAGTCTCCATCAAAAGCCACACGGAGCTGTGAGTCACAGTAAGACGTGTCTTTCCCTCCGTCAAACATTGTTGCAGAGGCGATCCCTGGAAGGCCATGGGGACAGATTAATACTACTCTCAGGGCCTTGAGATTTAGTTTCTACCATTAAAAAAATTATAAACCCTCCCAGACCTTGCATTTCCTCTCTAGCTATTATTTCCTGATGACTCAGCTCCTCTTCACAACCACACATCTCGAAACAGTTGTCCATGCACTGCATTTTTATAAGGGATGGAAAAGTGTAAAATGGATATAAGATGATCACGGAGGATGTCCACCTCCAGAAAGGTCAAAGCTCTAAAAGACGAACGGAAGGGCTGCCACTTGCAGAAACATCTTATGTCCAACAAGGGCATAAACCGCACAGTCATATGGGAAGCTCAATGGAAGTAAGCACTAGCACAAACCTCTCTATTAACACTGGGATAAAACCAAGCCTATACCTTCTTGCAGTGCTTCTTGTACTTTTTCACAGTCCGCAGAGAGATAGAAGTTGGTAAGATATGCCTTCAAATAGCCAACAGGGCTTTTGCCACCGGTCAGACAGAAGCGGTCAATTAGTAAGCCTGTTATCGGGTGAGAAAGATTTTGTTATGTCAGAGTCTAAAGACAATGTAGCTACTATAAGTGCAAGTGGGAGTTACCTTAGGAATAAGTGAGTGCCCAATGAGGTTTTAGAATTTCCTTCTGAGTACCAGTATGGGAAAATGAAAATTACCTTCTTAGCACCAGCATCTTATATAATAAAGATGTAATATGCAAATTGACCCTCACTCCATCACTACATCACAAGATGGCTGCACCCACAGCAGAGGCAGGGTTCCCATAACACAAGGTGGCTGCGCCCACAGCGGAGGTGGGGTTCACAAAACTAGCCATAACGAGCAATCAGCAGGGACCCGAGACTGTGTGGCGCCAGGCTGGGGTGGGGGACATGAGGCTGTACCTCCTTGCCCAATGGGGCTTAACAGGGGACTTCAGTCTGTGCCCCCCCCCCACCACCACCACTGGCAGGCCTCCCCATGAGGGTGGGGCTGGCTGGGTCTGGGTCTCGCATGATTTTGAGGCACCACAGTTATGTAGGGACTTGACTCTGGGTCCCACGGCACACCCCAGACTCTGACAGGAGGAAGATTTTCATATACATTTTACTAATTTTCTTTGATCTCTGACATTTCTATTATAGAGAAAGGGCAAATAGCAATATTAAAATATTTCTTCTAATTAATTCCCTTTTAATGTCCATGCATTTTGTGCACCAGACCACTAGTTTTATATAATAGTTGATGTGTTTGATGCATAAAAATGTACGAAGTCCATCCACATTGACCTTGCCAATTTAGTCTCACAATAACTGGCAGGCATTATTACCTTCATTACAGAAAAGGACACCAAAACCTAAAAGCTTGTCTAAACCCACTGGTTCCTGTTGACTCTTGTCTTTCAACTGCAGCCTCCTGACTGTTGTAAGGGCCAGTTAAAGTGTGATTGTCTATTTTAAGTACTGTTTCTATCTTTCTTCAATAACAATACAATAGTAATAAAAAGTTGTGCTAAGAATTGAACATTTTTTTAAAAACATCAACAAAAGGTTTGAAATTGTCTCTATTTCCTGACTTGGAAGTTTAAATGGAATTAATAACAGACTAAACACTAATATACCACCAAATGTCTTTTAAATCAACAACAATTAAAAAAAAGTACTAGATGTTGGTGAGAGGTTTGCAAAATAAGCATTCAAGTTCACTATGGATGAGAGTATACATTGGTACAAGCTATCTAAAAAGTAATTTGACAAAATATATCAAGCACTTCTAATAGGTTTATACATTTTGACCTTAGATTGCATTTTTGGGGACTTTATTTTAAGGGAATAATCTGAAACTCTGATAAAGATTTATGTAGAAATGTTTGATGCAGGATTATTCAAAAAAGCAAAACATGGTTAAATAATGTGTGAATAATTAAGTAAAGTGTAACATGCATAGAAGATATTTACCCATTCAGAGTGTTTGTAGATAGGTGATACACTGGGCAGCTGCATATAACAAAAAGTAGTATTTTGAGTCTAACACCTATATGGACCTAGAGAATAGATAGAGTCCTTCAACAGTTGAGTGCAAGTGTTTGTTGTGGAATTAACAAAATGCTCTCACTTTTCCACGTAAGCCAGCACTGGGCAAACATGACACAAAACTGTACCCTACAAATCCTTAATTATATTGATTTAATGAACAGAAATTATGTGGTGGCACTGGGGCTTTAGAAATGCCTAGAACATTGTTCCTTATTTCAAAGAGACAATTCACTGAGGAGCCAGGCTTGTAAACAGATAATTATAAAATAACAAAGACCATCGCAGAGAGGTATACAAATTGCCTTCAGCACCCGTAGAAGGCAGGTGACTAACTCTTTTCCCAGGTGACAGTTTGTTATTCCATGAACAAGGCTGCATGAGAAGATTGGGCTCAATCAGTTAATTTGCAGATTTAATCAGTGAATAACGATGCTTTTTTATGCTACTACTTTTGTGGGCTCAGTGTGAAGAGGGATAGAGAGACATAACTCACCTACTAAGTCACCTAAGAGCTGCACTTTATTGAGTAACTAATCTATGCCAGTCCTCTATGCTAAACCTTTTACCTACGTTATTTTCATGTCCTAACACGATGAAAGCTGCATTTTTGAAAGGCAAACATTTTTAAAAGTATGTAGTTAGGTTAATACAATTTATAACTTGTAATATATCTTGATTATTTATATATGCCCAATTTCAACCAAGCATTTAAATATGCCAAATTTATACCTTATTTTGGCTTGACATCCCCATAAAACTGATGTCATTTAGAAAATAGGCTAAAGTCCCCAAAATAAGAAGTCAGGTAATGCCATAACAGGAAGAAGGGGGACTTTCTCTTAAAGTCCCCAGCACACTGATGGAAATACTCTGAAGAGACGTTTGATGTGTGGGGAGAACAGCCAGGGAAAATCAGAGTTTAAGAGTGGAAAGGCAAGGTGAGAACCTTTAAACCTTTCACATGTATCTGCGGTGAGCAAGAAGTTTGATCACACAGGGAAAGCCTCTGGGATGACGGCTCCTTGAAGTCAGGTTCAGAAGTGAACAACATAAAACAGAAATGCATCGCAGGACCTGGGATTAAGACTTTGAAATTCACACTTGACAAGTTAAGTCCAGAGCTTTGGGCCCAACTCTGTGCTGAAGTTAAAAATGAACATGGCCTCTCTTGTTCTGACATAGGCAAATAAACATTCCTCACGCAGAAGGGGGTGTCAGTATCAAAGACACTGCATTAGTTAGGCCACAGTTAGCAAAATCACATGGCCTCCCTCTTCCAGAGCGGCGAGCCGTGCTTCCACATGGTATTTATTTTACTTACCATAGTGATTGACGCTGTTTATAAGCCGCACTCCCACTTGGGCATGGTTATTAGTCATCAGTACAATATCAAATAATTCGTGTTCTTCAGGATACAGATCACGGAGTCTAGCATTGACATGCTGCAGGGCCTGTAGGTTACAAACATGAGCGTGTGTGTATAAGAGGGCCAGGCAAGGTGGGTACTGGGAGTCTGGAGAGAAGGGATCTTATCAATGTCAAATTCAAGCTTTGAAGACACTTCACTGAGAGTTAGGGCTCCTTGTAGGTGAGGTTATGTCATTCATTTCTGTACTTTATGCCTGTCACACATAGTACTTCAGTTAATGATTAGGGAATCTATAGATATTTGTTGAAATTGTTACGTTTGGTCTACTAGCATTATCTCTGTGGGGTAGGCAAAGAGAAGGATTAGGTTAACTTCTTAATCCCTTTTTTACCCAGACCCCCACCCCCATGCCTGTCCCCTCTAGCAACCCTTAATTTGTTCTCTGTATCTATGTGTCTGTTTCTTTTTTGTTTTATTCATTTATTTTGTTCTTTAGATTGCACATGTAAGTGAAATCATAGAATTTGTCTTTTTCTGTCTGACTTATTTCACTTAGCATGATACTTTATAGTCCATCCATGTTGTTGCAAATGGTAAGATTTCATTTTTTTTATAGCCAAGTAAAATTCCATGGTATATGTGTACCACATCTACTTTATCTAATTGACTATTTATGGGCACTTGGGTTGATGATTATTCTTTTATTGTGAAAAATATAGAATACTTCATGAATTTGCATAGTTATCCTTGCACAGGGGCCATGTTAATGGTCTGTATTGTTCCAATTGTACTGTATGTGTTGCCAAAGACCCCTTTCTCTCTTTTTAAGCAGGAGTCTTCAGAATAGGTGTGTGGTTTCCTCCCATGCCCCATACATACTTTCTACTTACAGCTTGTTTCTGCCTGGTTATGATGCTACTGTGTAATATTTGTTGAAGCTATATAGGGATCACAGTTAAAGTGCTATACATTTCTGTATAAATGTAGATAACTTGACTTCATTAAAATCATGTCCCTAAGTGCCAAGAACATCTTGATTTTTTAAAAATATGCTAGGTTTGGGGCAAAAGCAGCAAGAGTGAATTTCATCTCATTTTAAGGAGGCGTTTTATTCTACTAGTGCTTGGAATTGTAAATTCGTCATTTTTTCTGGCTACCACTCCTTCCGAGGAGGGAACAGGTCTCCTGATTAGAAATCTACTTAGGAAAGCACAGCATCTCAGTTCTGGGGTCGAGCCTCCCTCAATGGTCTGGGAGCCTCTGTGAACCTCAATGATCTGGGAGCCTCTGTGAACGCAGAAACCGGACTGGGGTCAACTCCAGGGGCAAGAACAACAAAGGTGCGTTAGGGATTGTGAGGGAACCCGGAGGAGATCCCCAGGCCGGCCTGGGTCCTCCCGGTACCTTGACGAAGCGGAAGGCGGGCCCGGGGGTCAGGATGACGTTCTCGTTGCAGAGCTGGTACTCCATGTACTTTTCCAGACCCTCCTCCTCGTAGACTTTCCTGCCGTCCACCATGTTGAACAGAGCCCGGGACGACACAGCGATGGTGAGGGCGTGCTTGGGTTTGGCCTGCAGACAGGAGTGCCAGTGCAGAGCGCAGGGGGGCGAGGGGCGGGCACACAGACGGGAAGGGGTCAGGTTAGGACTCATCCCAGGGCAGGGGAGAGGGGGTGGGGAAGAAAACAGATGGGCCCTTGCTTGGGGCCCTGGGATGCTGGAAACAGCTAAGGCCTGGACCCCCCCTCCCTCCCTCCACCTTCCACCCCCTACTCCCCACCCCATCACCACCACCACCACCACTGAGGCTGCAGGAGGAGGGCTTGGGATGCACTTGGACTTCCCTCCAGCTTGGAGAGTTGAGATGCTGGGAGGGGCGTGGGCTCTGGGGCTGCGCAGAGGGGTGCCCAGGGTACCAGGGTCTGCAGGCTCTGCTCACCGGCCGGGGGCGTGAGCAGCCCGGGTTCTTCTCATACAGTGTCCTCACTGATGACCAGTAGGCCTCCTCGTCCTCATTATCCAACTCCCGCTGCCGGCCCAGGTCAGCTATATAGTCGCGGTCCTGGGAGCTGTAGGACCTGCGCTGAGAATAGGGCTTCCACTCCAAGGGGGGTGTGCGTGGACAATCCCGATGCAGCGAGTCCCGGGAGTCCCGGGAATCCCGGACATCCCGATCCCGATCCCGATCCCGATCCCGATCCCGAATCAGACTGTGCCCCCAGTGGTCATGGTGCTCATGCATCTTGATGCTGCGCATGGATGGGGCCAGAGACTGAGGCAGGGACTGGGGCTGGGTGGGCAGGAGTCCTCAGGCGCAGGTGGCGTGTGCAGCACGGGCGTCGTGGGCGGGGACGGGAGCTCGTGCTGGGACAGTTCGTGCTGGGACTCTTGCTGGCTGTGGGAGGCAGCGGAGGAAGTCCGGGAGGTTGTGGAGCTTGTGGGGCCCTGGAGCAAGAGAATGGGCGTCTGAGTTCCACATGCGTCTGGGACCCCTTCCCCCCAATCCAGCAGGAGGCAAGAAGCTGTCCCCTGGCCTCTGGTCCTTCCCTAGCCTTTCACTGGCTCCTGGTTCACCCCCGCTCTTTTAAGTGGGGCTTCAAGGGGCTTAGCCATTTCAAGGCTCCAGATATTAGTCGTTTCTGTTAAATGGATACGGACACAGTCAGCTTTCATTGACCCCATTCCCCCATCACCCTTTTTATTTATTTTTTAGTAGCTGGGGCACAGGCTCTCTTTCTTACCCTCAGCAGATGCCCACCCTTTGCAAAGTTCTGTCATTGGACTTCTGTATGTATACCTGCCCAGTCAGAGACTTCCAGGCAAGCCTGAGTAAGGGGTCTTGCTTGCCACTGCCTCCATCTGTGAGCTCCAGTTAACCCTATGAGCACCTAGACCAGATGTCCCCCGCCCCCCGCCCCCCGCAAAGACTCTACAGAGCACCTTGGAGACATCTCTTTGTACATTTGCCCCACGACTAAGGCAGTGATCGCTGGAGGGCTGCCAGCTGGGTAGCCCAGTGTCTCCCTTTTGCCTGCAGGGCTGTGTGTGTCTGCAGAGCTCAGGAGAGAGTACCCTTCCCAAGTAGGAAGGAACCATTCTAGAGACAGCACCCCTTTCCTAAGGTGTGCAATAAATCATTATGCATCCATACATCATTTCTGTTTTTATGAAGGTTTCACATATTTTGAAAGGCGTTTTCTTGGTTAAATTATTGAGCCGGTCCACACAGAGCTAGATGGATTGATGGGAAGACAAGTTTTCCCAGTGGCTGGATCTATGCCACCCTCTCTCTACAACCAAGGACTTAATCTCAAAATTAACTTTTTCTTCTTATGTGGCCAGGCTTACATAAGGGCCCAAAGGACTACACAATCTAAGACTCTTCAACAATTTATCTTCATTGTTGACCTTTCCAACCTTTGTTCTTACTCGTGAGTACTCAACAGTTTGGTGGAAGGAAGAAAGGTAGGAAGGGAGAAACCTAGAGTGGAATCATTTCAGTGTAAATGATTAAAGATGTAGTGGCCTTGGATTTTAATCTAGCTCTGTTAGCATTATTAATGTGAAATCTTAGACAAGTTATTCTGTGTGTGTGTGTGTATGTGTGTGTGTGTGTGTGTGTGTGTTTTCAGCTGTAAAATAGGGCTTCGGGGGGCAGGGGAGTGTGAAGTACATAGAACAGGGGCTGGCACATAGAAAACATCAACAGTTTTTAGCCATCATCATCGGTATTATCATTACTGTTGTTACCATTATGCTATCATGCACTCCATCCTTCATCCCTATCTCTACCTTAAGACTGGTGGGCTTGCTTCTGGCTTCCTCTGCTGATGGGACTCTGGAGGATGGGTTCCGTGAACTTCCAGACCACTGGCTTCGCACGACGTACCCTCGAGACTCTGTCTTTGGCAATGCTTCTTGTGATCCCTTTTGAGGAGAGAAGAGATCCAGGGCTGTAATATGCCACCACCCAATCCTCACATGCTGGTGCCTACAGAATAGCCATGTCCAGCTAAACATAGCAAGCCCCATTGAGAAGATCGTGGTCACTGTGACCCTTAAGTCAATCTGGCCCAGTCCTCACTTCACTGAGGATCAATAAAGTGGAACTATATCTGGAAGAGCATCCAAAAGCAAGGCACAAATCTGATATCTCATCTTTTTTCACCTGTCACTCTTCAATGGTCATTTGTACAGTTGACCATTTTTTCTCCCCTTTTCCACATCTTCCCTTAAGAATAAGCCCATGAACAGATGCTAAAAAGACATTTCCCCATTTTGACCAGACTACAAAGATGAGGGCAGCTGGTTCCTAAACAAGGCTGTGATGGGGCTCCACAGTGTAAGAGGGAATAGAGCACTCTAGCATTCCCTCTGAGCAGAACAACACTGAAGGAGACCATGGAGAGGCAAGGGGAAGAGTTTCTATGTCCCATTTCCTTCCCCTCACCCAGACTGACTGTGGCTCCCCTACAAAATCAGTAGTTTGATCTCTGCTCACCCTGCTCATGGTGACCTGCTGGCCCTGTTTCCAAAACAGGCACATGTGAATATAAATACGTATTGTGCGGCAGGGGCCAAGAAGGACTGTTCCCTCAGCTGCCCTAAGGCAGTGTCTACACGACTGATGAGGACGCATGGGGCAACATCTCAGCCAGTGATGCGGATTGATTGCATGCCTCATCTGAAAGATTGTGCAGAAAATAGTCAATGCGATGGCCAGACTCCCCTGCCCTCCCTGGTTTGAACAAAGACCAGTCTCCTCCCAAAGGCTGAGCAGAGGAGACGGCTGTGGTTTCTACACCATATTTTTCTGTGGGAACATGGGGATGTGTACTGTAGGGAAGGCAGGGACCAGCTTCTCCTAGCTTTTCCTTAACCTCTCCATGAGGGACATTAGATAATCCCTTAAACAAACGTCAATAGCTCAGTCTCTCAGAACTCCCTTACCCCGAATATTTCTATTATGCTTTCTGCTTTTTTATTCTCTTATCAACTATAAAAAAAGTCAGCTCACCGGAGTGCTGAGACGAATTGATTTTTCAGATTCCTGTCTTTTCTCTGTTTCTAGACTCTCTTTTGAGTATTTCGTTGCAGATTCATTCTTAATATAGAAACAAAGAATGTTTATTAATTTTAATCTCAAGGGCATTAGAAACCTGGGGCTTGGGGACAAAGGATAAATTAAAATTAGCATTCATCTCTTTGCTAATCAAATCTTTATATATATATGAAGTTTGACATTTTTTGCCCTGTTCTGCTAAGTATGAGTAAAATCAATTCAAAGAACTATATCATTTTTAAGGTAGAAATTCAGTGGTTTATAGGTTCAAGGCATAAGGCATTTATCATTTAAATATTGTAATATGGGCCCGAGCTGGTTTGGCTCAGTGGATAGAGTGTCAGCCTGCCGACCAAAGGTGCCAGATTCAATTCCAGTTCAATCACAAGTGCCTGGGTTTCGGGCTCCATCCACAGTAGGGGGCATGCAGGAGGCAGCCAATCAATGATTCTCAGCATTGACGTTTCTAGCTCGCTCTCTCTCCCTCTCCCTTCCTCTCTGAAGTCAATAAAAATATTTTTTAAAAAATTGTAGTATGGGATATTCTGTGGGAGAATCATACAGGGGTCAGCAACTGTGTTTTCACCTCTTACAACTAACATGAGCATATACTCCCTAAGTGCTGATTTATCAGATTGACTTATACTTTAATCTCCTTTTTCTCCCCTTTTATCATTCACTTTTCCCTCCATTTTCCCTCCACGCAGTAGGGAAATAATTTGATAATTTCATCTGAAATAATTCCATAATTTCAGAGAAGCCCCAGAGGTCAATAATGGATGGATATCTAACTTTCCTTGACTCTTTGGCAGGACTCTAGGATGTTTAATTCGCTCACCTTCTTTTTCTGTTTCAGAGATGTTTGACTCATTTCTTTAACTATAGAAATTATTTTGCTGTTATGCAGGTGTTCATCTCCCCAGCGCCATTTTCTGTTGCTCAGTCTAGGCATGCATAGAATGTCAAATTTATGACATCACATGTGACTCCATAGTAACAAACTGACTGTGAATACATGACTATTAAATGTTATTTATTCATATTTGAGTACATCCACTCATAATCATTGTCTGGGTCTTTAGAAATTGATATTTAAACATCCAAATATTTAATGTGTAGCAGTATTAATATTACTACTTCCTTTTTAAATATCTTTTAGCATTACTATATCACTCAGCAAATCAATCCCATATATGGCTGTATATTTTCTGGTACTATCAAAATTTATGACAAACTCATTTGTGGACCCAATCATTTATTATTGGTCATCCTGACAGAGTTTGGAGAACTTTCTGCGAATATAGAGACGATTTTTGCCAGCTGAGAATTTGTTCTAGATATGGTGGTTAGACTTCAGTTTAGCTTTAGTGTTTGGTGTTTCTTTCACAGCAAGACCATTTTTGTTTCACAAGGTCAAAGCATGTTCCCTCTGGCCAGACAGTGTGGTAGAATGATACTTACACTGTCTGTCCTGCTTAAACATTTAAGCACACATATGTCCCTCTTGTGTACACGCAGAGAAGCATATGTAAAATCCAGCCCCCAGCTTGGGTTTATAAGCTCCAATAATACTCTTCTAGTTCCGATTTTGTCTTCACCCAAGTTCCATGCCAACCTGAGTTGGTCAAATTATCATGGATTGAGATAGATTTCTGGCCTGTCTTCATTGGAGTTGAAGCTTAGTTTGGATATCAGGAGAGGTTTTAGGCAGCCTCAATCAAAGTCCTCTAAGGGGTCTTCTAGAGAGTAAAACATGCAGGTTCCAGGTTACACTGCCTGGGTTTCAATCCTTTCATGTCCCACATCTCACCTCGATCCTCAGCAGGTTGTTTAATTCTCATAAGTCTCAATTTCCTCATAGGATGGAGATAATAATGGTATCAACATCAAATGATAGCTGTGACAATTGAAATAGTACGAAGTACTTAAGACAGTGGTTGGCATTCATAAGTCTTTAATCAATATTAGCTATTAATTTTATTCATATTTTTGCCACAGCTATACTATAGAGTTCAAAGAGAAAAATCTTTAATTTAATCCCTATTGCAATCTAGGAACAGAATTTTAAAATTACTTATTATTTGTGTACTTCTATAACCAATCAAGTGTCAGTTTAATGATTCTTTCCATAGTTTTATGACAGAGCAAGAGGGCAGGCACTCGAGCAGCATTTGGGAACAAAAGCTGGAGAGCTCTGAGACTCAAGTTCTACAAATTAGAACAGGAAGGTTTTACAGAGATGAGGGCTTGAAAGAGCATTTGATTTCTGACTGGTCCTTCCAGCCGACACCCACAATCATCTTTTACTTTTGGTCTCTTCCATGTAATTCAGCATTTATATGCTCAATAAGTTCTTTGATTATTGGTCTTCTCCCATCACACACGACCTAGAGTAGAATATGAGACTAATGACTATTTTGAATTATTTTATGTATTGAGATATAAATATATAACTAATTATTTCATTCAAAATGATATGAGTGACATTAAAGAATGATTTGTATGTTTTTTTTCAGATTTCCTTTTTTGTTTTTTAAAATTATTTTCTAATTCTTAACTTTGTTATTGAGCATGGGAAACTTCACATACATGCAGGCGACTTTATTAGTCAAGGTTCTCCAGAGAAAAAAAACCAATAAAATATCTATCTATCTATCATCTATCTATCTACCTACCTACCTATCTATCTATCTGGATTTATATATAGATATGTAGATATATAGGCATATAAAAAAAGATTTATTATGGGAATTGGTTAATGTGATTATGAAGGGTGAGAAGTCTCACAGTCTGTCATCTACAAGCTGGAGAACCAGGAAAGTTAATGGTGTAATTCAGTCTGAGTCTGAAGTCCAGAAAACCAGCCGGGATGATGGTATAAGTTCCAGTCTGAAGGTCAAAGGCCTGAGAACCTGAGGGGATGTTGGTTTAAGTCCTGGAGTCTGAAGGCTCATGTGCCAGGAGCTCTGATGTTCCAGGACAGGAAGAGAAGAAGGATGTCTCCTCAAGAAAAGAAAGAGTTTTCCCTCCCTCCAACTTGTTTGTTCTATTTGGATCCTCAAGAGATTGGATGATGCCTGCCCACACTGGTGAGAGCAACCTTCTTTATTTAGTTTACTGATTCAAATGCTAATCTCTTCCAGAAGCACCCTCATAGACACACACAGGAATAAACTGTTACCAGCCATCTGGGCATCCCTTCGCATAGTCCAGTTGACACATAAAATTAACCATCACAGCAGTGTAGTTTTTGTTTGGCTTAGACTCTTCTCTCCATGAGTTCAACCTCGGTAATAAAGTCAAGATGCAACACAATTGTGACCTTTTCGTGCAGCCTTTCCAAGTCACCAAAAATTAGTTTTGATAATGAAATTATCTTTGTCGGTTCTGGTTGTGGATAATTTTTTTTTAAAAAAAGGAGTTCCATAAAAGGAACTTAAAAGGCATTTTGGAATACCACAAACATGGGTACATCGAAGAGAGCACTCTCCATCCATTTTGAAAACTATTTTTGATGCTTGCCATGGTTACTGAGAGGAATACACCCATTCCCTTGGCGGTGTTAAGAGGAATATTGAAATTTGTGGGACCGGGTGTACATGCAGATACTCTTGCCAAAAGCTGATAAGTGGCAATTCCTTGTCCAAAATGTCGACTGGAGGCTGATGTGCATGTACCTAGGCTCTGCCCAATGGCGTTTATGTCAGCCTTCTGCTTGTGGAGGTCAAGGTGGCAAAGTACAAAATCCGGGAAGACTATCCAGAGGGGAGAGTATGCCATTCAGAATTCACCAGTGAAGACCAGTTGTGTGGAAGTTCATATTTCTCGAGTCGGTCCATTTTGATTACCCACATGACTCAGCTGTTACTGCGGATTCAGAGCGCCAGAGAGCTGTGTGTGTGGGACCCTGGAGTGAATGTGTTTGATGGACTAGAAAATAAAATAAAAGTAGATGCTTGTGATTTAGGAAATAATTTTTGAAAAAAATTCTGGGGTGAGTCTTAAAGGTAATAAAGGTCTATAAAATATAAGGCCTTGAAAATAGCAGTGCCAAGTAATTTCTGTGTAGACACGGGCTCTGAGCTCTAATCCTCACATCTGTAAACTAGGAATTAAATGTACTACACATTGAACAATTTTGTTGTAAAACTTGAATAAAATCATGCAACTAAAAGGACATAGCACAATTTACAGTAAGTTTTTAATACCACATACCTCCAAGGCAATTTTCATTCAAAAAAGTCTGCATGTTGCACAGGGGGAAAGGTTAGTTGGAAGATGGCCAAAGGGCTTAAAAATCAGGCAGGCGAAATACAAAGGGGCGACCACTTTCTCATAAAGGCCAGTGTCAAATTGGGTCTTGCTCTTTTTAAAAAAATCATGAGGCGTTTTTTCCACCTTTCATTCAGCGTAGCCAAAATGGTCCATGTTCACCTCTTTTTTTCTCCATCCTGCCTTCAACACTCACTTTCCTAAGTAAAGTTAACAAATGATCCCATTTCTCCCATTAGTAACAGCCATTAGCAAGAATGTTCGACACTCACCAGCATTAACCAAACCCTAATTAGCCAAATACTGCCCACCACCCCCTTACAATGCACACCTTTCTTTCCCCCGCGCCTGCTACGGCTCTCCTAAAAGAAACATTTGTAGAACTCCCCTTCTTAGCCCACTCTTCCCTCACATCATTAATCAGCTGGCTATGCCTCATCCAAAGGGGAAAAAAAAATTATCCAGTTTCCTGTTGTATGCAGGCCAGATGCACAAGTGCTAAGTAGGACTTACATGTGTGTCCTCCTTGTGTTCGTGTCACATGCATTGCTGCATCTGGAACTAGGGCGTACTAGGGACGCCCGTCGCGGATTTCACAGCGGCTGTGTGTAAGCTGTCTAGTCTCTATGCTGTCCTGTTCTGATGGCTCTGCTTTCTAGATGCACGCCTCACATAGAGCAAAGCAGGCGATGCCTCCTGGCCTGGGACCTTCAGCTTGCTGTCCATCAGTTTGCTCAGAGAACCCACGACCTGAGAGGGATGAAGGGGTCAGAGAGACTTTCTCTATTAGGTGGCTTTAAAAGAGAAAAAAAAATGTAAAAAAAGAAAGAGAGGGTTGAGATGCCTACGTATACACACATCACACATCCCCTGAACTGTCACCAACTTATTTCCTGCGCATGGGGGGCAGGCACCAGGAGCTCCTGGGCGGCCAGCGTGCTCATGGTCTTGCAATGGGCAGCTTGTTGCTGAGCAACAGCTCGGTGGTCTACAGGCTCGGCTTTGAACACAAGTGCTGCTGCTGCCCAGGGGTCTCTGCGAGTTGCTTAACCTCACAGATTTGTGAAATAGGAATGATAATAATCCCGACCTCACAGAGAGAAAGGAAACAGGGAGCCTGGAGGCCGCAGCACAATGCCTGGCACAGAGAGCCACTCAGGACCCACCCTCTTCCCAGGTCCCCTGCCTCCTGATTCACCTGCATAAACACAGTGCGGGGCCTCTGGGGAGGATTGTATCTGGACCATGTGACCACCTAGGGAGGACCTTGCCCTGAACTTCAGTGCCCCGTGAACAGGAGACTCGGAGTCTTGTCTCTTTGTTTTCTTTTGGCCTGTTTTTTTATTTGGGGTCTGTGTGATTTCCTGGCAACAGCCCCGTTGGTGGTGAGAAAATATGTGTGTTTGCTATTTGAGGAGCAAGCAGCTTGTTTCCAGGGGTGCCCCCTCCCCCAAGGCCCTTGCAGAATGTGGGTCAGCAATGCATGTCCCTCAGTTCAGCACAGTTCAGAGAGCCCCCAGGCTAGTCCAGCTTGGATTCTGTATTTTTCATGATGCCTGTGGACAAAATTGTTTTTCATGACATGTTTCAGTTCTTGAA